TTTTCATAATATGCTAGCTCAGGGGAAGGTGACCCTCTGCGAGATAGTGGCGCTTCACACTATGAGCGCACCTCGAGAGCCCCTCCATCTAGAAGCATTCATGGCAACATCATTTTTCAGGATTCTGGGGTGAGTGCATATCTACAATATGCACTTGGGCCCTATCATCACTCGACTCGTGAGATACTTTGGAGTCGACACCGCCAACTGCACAATGGTTGGGAGGACGGAGATCTTCCCGGTGGAGACACTCCATCATATGGGTTTGGTGCGTGTTGAGAGAGGCATAGATTACATTGATGGCCTCGTACCTTTGTCCCTCTTCCGACTAGTGGTTGAAGAGGTTGGAGAGTCATCCCAGAGGGCTCCACCATCGCGCAAACGTGGCCACATTGGTGCCTCTACTTCATCATCAGGAGTCGGTCCTTCTTCCTCGGGAAATATTGAGGCCTGAATCATTGCATTTGAGGTTCACGTAGCTGGTTTCTCCTCTCAAATTGACTGATAGTGTGACGCCCAATGTCATTCACACCACATGGAGGAGGAGCTCCTACGCTCTCACGACATCCAGTTCTAGGCGCCCAATGGCATCCTTCACCTCTTTTCCAGGAGAACCCACCACAGGACGACGACCAGTCATGAGTGCCATTATGGCACTATAGTACCACCATTCCACTTCTCTACCCCTTGATTCTGAACTTTTGTTTTTCTCTTAGTGTGTGTGGATGTGAAATACTTAGTTTGTTTTTCTTTTATTCTGACATTGAATATTTTGTTTGTGGTAATAGCCTCGACTTTGGTGAGCATGTGTTTGTGTTGGTGTGTTTGTTTAATGTGAAGCTCTCTATATCCCTCAAAACTAGTTGGACTCCCGTCAGACTTCCACTCATTAATGATTCTGTAACTTGGCGAGTGAATGCGAATGTGATGAATGACCTAAATTTGAATGATTTGGAGCCTTGTTATTGCCAAATTTCTACAATTTGAGGGCTCCAAGAATTTGTGGAATGAATAATTGGATTTGGCCTACATTGAGAATGTTTTGGAACCTAGGTTACATGCTCAAAATTTAAAAATTTCATGAGTTCCAAACACATTGTCCCATGCATTATTCCTACTCACTATGCTTTGAAAAGTTTGTGCATTATAGGCAGTAGGTACGGTCAGCCTTAAACAAGACAATCATTCACACCTAAAGGAAGAAAAAAAAGAGAAGTTTCATCCAGTGGCGGATCCAGAAATTTTATATAGGGGTGTCCTCTCCGAAAAATTAAGTTAAATTAATAATTAAATAATTATTGAATAATAAAATATCTGACTTGTCCAAAGCACATGACGTGTTTCATACTTTGGAAAAATTGTAAAATACAATCGGTGTCTAACAATGCTCTATAAATCTCTCTCGATATATCCTACTAGACTAGGGGATCCCGTAATTGGGTTTAATCGTTAGCTTATGAAAATAATTGGGATAAAAAATAGCTTTTGTCTATTATATTTGGATTTGAAATACAAGAACAAATGAGTTATAGTCTAATGAAAATATGTTTACTAATAGTAGCATCGACCCAAGTTTAAATCACATAGGCAACCACTTAAATGTTTATATTTACCCATACACAAACTACTATTGGGGGATATAATCGTTTTTTTAAATTTTAGGAGTGTCCCGCTACCACTTAAATATTTTTTTACCTATATGCAAACTACTATGGGAGGTTGAATAATCGTGTTCCCAAATTTTAGGAAGAGCCCCACGGATCCGCCACTGGTTTCTTCCACTTGCCAGAATTTTTTGGTCCAGAGTGTCCGAGAGCTCGTGGCGCAACAAAGATTTTTTTTATCATGAGTGGCTATACTTCTATTTTCTCTTGGATGTGTTGATACTGTTTACTATCGAGGTTATGTAATGTATGCGAGACTCTCTCCCCAAATTTTGGACACAAAATTTTTTTGCAAAAAGGTTCTCTAATTTGATAAAATATTTTGAAAAATGAGTGTTCTCACATGAGAGGCAACATGGCATAGTGTTTGAGCTAAGGAGTCAAAGGCTTTTCTCTTGGTCCGGAGTGCCATTTGAGGATGTGTTTAGGGATTGGATAGCTTTCTAGTAGGTCTGGGAATCGGGGCGGTTGCGGTTAACCGCACCGAAATGTAGCCATTTACGCCAACCGCGACCGCACAGTTTGTTGTTAACCACTAACCGCAAAGTGTGGTTAATGGTTAACCACGCTAAACCGTGTTACTAAACATTCTTATGGTTTAAGGACATTTTGGTCTATGGTTGTGCCACTGTGTCACGGTTAACCGCACTAACCGCGGTGATAATTGGTTAAAACGTAGTTACATGTTGTTCGGTTGCGGTTCCGGTTAACCCGAAAACCACAAAACATGCAATATTGCTAACCGCGAAAACTGCAACCAAATTCCCACCCCTACTTTCTACCGTCGAACCATCACTATTTCTAGCTTCCATCCTCCTTACACCTATGCTCCTTACGAGACTTGTATGCGAGGAGATAGTGTGCCTCTCCGCAAGTTGGGAGACCTCGACTCTCATTTGTACCTCACATGTGTGGCAACTCGTATGTCGTTGAGACGGGAGTGCATGCTGGGAATTAGGGCTTAAGAGAGAGGACTAACGTCCAAAGCTTCACCTTTTTCACTATTCCATCCCCTCAACCATAAGTTTCCCCACATGAGACTGGGAAAGAGAAGGCAACGTACTTTTGTTCTTAGCCCCGAGGGAGAGAAGTCTTGTTTGAAAAAATGCAAGTGTGGTGCCATGTGGGGCAATGTTAACTTGATGCTCGAAAGCTTGAGTAATCTTTTGAAAAAATAGGAGCACCACCATGGATTCCATTGCTTTTCATGTTTTCTTGAGAGCCCGCCTGGTGCATGCGTGAAATGTCTAGACCTCTTTAGTCGTCAAAGTCCTCATCCAGGAGTTTGTGTTGTCACATAGATAATGATGGAAGTAATATTTTCTCGTTTCTGATTGTCTTTGAGGTGCTACCAACAAAATATAGTGCATACCATTGTGAGTTTCTTGCATGTTGCAATAGTTTAAGTTAGGTTTGCTTGGGACAAGCAAACAACTAAGTGTAGGTGAGTTTGATTCGAGCCATTCTATACATGTTTTTACCCCATTTACTTGGTTGTTTGACTTGTTTAGCATCGTTCTTGTAGCTATTTTATGCTAGGTTTTGGAATATTTTACTATGTTTCAAGTCGTAGCAGGTGAAATGTGTGAAAGGATTGAAAGTCAGACGAAATGAAAATGGAGCAGAACGATCTAAAGTGCACATATCACGGTTTGGAGGAGATTGTAACACGTAGCAGACTGTGAAGATTACAAGGAGGTCGTGAAGATTGCAAGTTTCCAGGAGCTTTTAGTCGTCTTGCGGGCATTGCAAGGATCACGGTCCCAGGCCGTCAAGTAAGCTTTTACATCGTTCCGGATGAATGCCCGAGGGAGTGGATTTTGTTTCCCCAATCGTCTATTGTGATAGTGTGGTATGCCCCTTCGATTAAATCAATTAGGCGGGTGATATTGCACTCGAATAGGGGATCCTAACTATATTTGATCTCCTAACAGTATATAGAACTTGCCAATCATACTATCAGAATCTCATCTCAATACAGGACTTGGAGATAATCATCTGAGTGGGGTTTTCTTACTTGAATTCAACATCATTTGAGTTCTTTTGTTTGCTTAGTTTGATAGTTTTAAACAACGTTCTGATTGCTAGTTAACTTGTGGTTTACTGAAGTAAGGGTAGACGAACCGACTAGGTTGATAATTGAAAATATACTTGCTCTATACTACACCAGTCGTATGATTATACTTGGCTTACGATAGGACTGTGTAATAGGTTGAGAGTTAGAGAAGAGGGACAACGTTGGAATGAGTAATGCGCAGAATGCGTTATTTTGAAATAACTGGATACCTCCGTGTGATTTTGAATAACACATTTTTGCGTTATTTACAAAGAACATGGGCCCGATTAACTCATCACTCCATTTTGCATTCAGACGAGTTATTCTTACCCAAATAATTCACAATGAGTTATTTGGATCAAAATAACTCATTGCAATAACCCATTAAAAGGACCCCTTTAATTATTTTGGCCTCATGGGCCTATGCTCCTTCACTAGGCTTTTTCCTATCTCAATGGACAAGTCTAGTTGGACTTGTTTGTTTTGTTTTTTCAGGCAATTCGTTTGCTTGGTTTGCATTTTTTAATACTTGTTCTTTTAGCTTAATTGTTGGCACGCAATTGGCTAGGCCTTATGGGAAATTCGGTGCGAATCAGATGGAAGTTTGTGTAATTTTTAATAGATTTATGTTTTTCATGTCATTTAATTCTTAGGGATTGTAATAGAGATGTTCATATAGTAATAAAAAGACTTCCTTATTAGTATATCGATTTTTATCGACTACCACATGTGATTACTTTATGATCTTTGTAAACATCTAATATTGCAACTCTTATGAATTATCTAATCTATGTAAAAAATGGGACTTGGTGGGATGGAGGATTTGGACTTGGAGTAGAGGTCATAAAGAAAGAATCAAATGGAGAAATAAAATAAAAGCGAAGTGGGAAAAAAAACCGCGTCTTTGACCTTGTAAACCCCGTCCCCGAGCCAGGAGAAGAGAAAGACTAGTCCCGCATCGTCGCCATTAAACCAAAAATTCCAGGATTCGTTCTTCCTAAATTCCACTTCTTAATACCATTTCACATCTGCCCTCAAGATCTTCTCTTCTCTTCTCTTCTCTTCCTTTTCATTTCCCCCTCACCCAACAATTATTCCCCCGTTTCTTTTTCTCGTCTCCAGCTCATTTCATTCTCCCTGCCAACCCTGTTCCGTTTCCCCTCAATCATCTCCTTCAATCAAGCCTTCCACCTTTTATCTTCCTCAACTCTAGCTTCGTTATTTGGGTTTTCTATCTCTTTCCTTTCTTTGGGTTTTCTCCTTCCTCCTTCCCTCCTTCCATGGCTGACTTGGTAAAGCAGATCTTGGCCAGGCCAATCCAATTGGCCGACCACGTCATCAAATCTGCAGACGAAGCCAGCTCCTTCAAGCAGGAGTGCGGCGAGCTGAAGTCCAAGACGGAGAAGCTCGCGGCCTTGCTCCGTCAAGCCGCTAGGGCGAGCTCCGACCTCTACGAGCGGCCCACCCGCCGCATAATCGACGACACGGAGCAAGTCCTCGAGAAGGCCCTCGCTCTAGTCCTCAAATGCCGAGCCAACGGAATCATGAAGCGGGTCTTCACCATTATCCCCGCCGCCGCCTTCCGCAAGATGTCCGCTCAGCTTGAGAACTCCATCGGCGACGTCTCCTGGCTCCTCCGGGTTTCCGCCTCCGCCGACGACCGAGACGACGAGTACCTTGGACTCCCGCCGATCGCCGCCAACGAGCCCATCCTCTGCCTTATATGGGAGCAGATTGCCACCCTCTACACTGGGTCTCCCGACGATAGATCTGACGCCGCCGCTTCCCTCGTCTCCCTAGCTCGGGACAATGATCGGTACGGTAAGTTGATTATCGAGGAAGGTGGGGTTCAGCCGCTGCTGAAATTGGTCAAAGACGGGAAATTGGAAGGTCAGGAGAACGCCGCAAGAGCAATTGGGCTTCTTGGTCGGGACCCTGAAAGCGTCGAACACATGGTTCACGCCGGGGTTTGCTCGGTCTTCGCCAAAATCCTCAAAGAAGCTCCCATGAAGGTTCAGGCAGTGGTGGCTTGGGCTATTTCGGAGCTGGCTGCTCATTATCCCAAATGCCAGGATCTCTTCGCTCAGCACAATATAATCCGTCTGTTGGTTGGCCATCTCGCATTTGAGACAGTTCAAGAGCACAGTAAGTATGCTATTGTTAGCCAGAAAGCTACTTCGATCCACGCCTTGGTGCTCGCTAGCAACGCCAATTCAAACGCTGTCGCTAGTAGCAACAGTAATGGCAGTGTGAACTCTGCTGCACTGAATGTTGAAGAAGATAAAAGCAGGATTAATCACCCTTTAGGGAACAGAACGCGGAGCCAGTTCCATAGTGTAATTGCAAACACAATGGCCATGAATGCAGTCGCCAAGCTCCCCAATGGGAATGCTGCAGTGGCCAACGGGAATGGAAACAGTACTACCCCTCCTGCTGCTGTTGCTGTTGCTGCTGCCGTGAAGCCGGCTACTCACCATCAACATACCAACTCACTCTCTGCTGTCAATCTTAAAGGGAGGGAAGGTGAAGACGCAGCTACAAAGGCCCACATGAAAGCAATGGCAGCAAGATCACTTTGGCAGCTTGCTAAGGGGAATTCACCCATTTGCCGAAGCATAACGGAGTCGAGAGCTCTCTTGTGTTTTGCAGTTCTGTTAGAGAAAGGAACTGGGGAGGTTCAGTACAATTCAGCCATGGCAGTGATGGAGCTCACTGCAGTAGCTGAAGAGGATTCGGATTTGAGAAGATCAGCATTCAAGCCCAATGCTCCTGCTTGCAAAGCTGTTGTGGATCAAATTCTGAGGATCATTGAGCAAGGGGATACCGAGCTGCTAATTCCTTGTGTCAAAGCTATTGGCAATTTAGCAAGAACGTTTAGAGCTACAGAGACCAGGATGATCACCCCATTAGTTAAGCTTCTAGATGAGAGGGAAGCTGAAGTTTCAAGGGAGGCATCGGTTGCTCTCGCTAAGTTTGCCAGTTCAGACAATTATCTCCACCTTGATCATGCAAAGGCGATCATTAGTGCTGGAGGGGCAAAGCATTTGATCCAGCTTGTCTATTTTGGTGAACAAGTTGTTCAGATTTCAGCTTTGGTTCTTCTTTGCTACATTGCTTTCCATGTTCCAGATAGCGAGGAGCTTGCAAAGGCGGAGGTTTTGACTGTCTTGGAATGGGCTTGCAAGCAAGCATTCATTACCCAGAACGAAATACTGGATCCTTTGCTTCCAGAAGCCAAGAGCAGATTGGAACTTTACCAATCTAGAGGTTCAAGGGGGTTCCATTGAAATTTCCAAAACCCTCGTGGCCTTAGCTTATATATGTTTTTATCGTTGCATAAATGGTTTCATAGTTTCTTGTGCTGCAGTTCAAATTGAGTGTACATATAATTTGGCTCCCCCCCACTCTATATGTTGTTTTCTTTGCCTGATTTTTTGAATGTATTATTAAAATGATTTCCTCCAGTCATGGAAGCAACCAATTTGTAGCTTTGACATCTAGTGTCGATGGCAGATTATATTTCCAGATCCTGGATATGGGGACATATGTGCTCTTTCTATCATCAGATTATGAATTAGTTGACTTTATCCTTGCAAATGGGGGTCAGTGAACTGCATTATTTCGATGTTCTCCATGATTGGTGTGCTCTTGGCCCATAATTGATGTAAGCTTAGGTGGAACAGCTAGCAAGACAGGGATGATGTGAAGAGAATGTCTTCTAACGAACCCACCTCAAAATTGGTAGGGCTTTTAGCAAGTGTGGGAAGGTTTTGAGGTTCCCAACTAACTCGTTTTGTGTTTGGGAGTTGAGACCTGTTTTGTTCACCGGCCAATCGTATTCTTCCTTGTATACCACTACTTTTTCTTCAACCTGAGTGTTAGGAAACGTCTGTATGGAGATTATTACGGTTGGCCTCGGGCGTTGCTCTGCGTTGGAGTGCCATTGGTTTGCAGCTTTTGAAGGGCCAGAGCTGTATCTCGTTCCCGGTGGGTGGATTTGGATAGTCATAATTGTGACTTTGTTTATGCAGGATAGAAACCTGTTTCCATTGGATTTCTAGATCAGGTTGTAAAATATTTTGGGTGCCACTTAAGTTTGATAATTGAGGTAAATATACCACTTGAGTTTGAACAGGGCGTCAGGTATCACTGAATACTATTATATGTGCCCCTCGTATCACTTAAATTTACTGCTAAGTGCTCCATTAAAGTTGACAGAATATTCTTGAAATATTTCATTTTCTAAATTTCATAATTGGTCCTTCTACTTTCCTAATTGTAAAAAATCGTTTGGACTTATGAAAAACATAATTTTTTATTGTTTTTTATAATGCATAATTTTTTTATAATTAAAAATAATTATAATGATAATTGATTCAAAATTTTCTATTCAAAAATTGGTTTGGTATCAAGTATTCAAAAGAAGATTCTAATTAAACAATAAAAAATTAAAAAATTAAAAAACAATATTGTTCAATTAGAATCTTCTTTTGAATACTTGATAATTAATTTTTTATTGTTTAATTAGAATCTTCTTTTGAATATTTGATACCAAACCAATTTTTGAATAGAAAATTTTGAATCAATTATCATTATAATTATTTTTAATTATCATTATGTGTTCTAATAATTGAATTATTTCATTATTGTTGTAACTAAACAATGTTGTAGCTTTTATAGTCATATTTTCTTTTGTACATTATTTACCGAACGTTGTAGCTTTTATATTTAATTTATTATTTGGTTACTTTCCATCTCTTTTCGTTCTAATTTTTTTCAATAAATGGAATATGTTTAATTCTTTCTGATTATGTTCCATTTATCCTTTTTTGATTTCGATGTATTGATGATCGGTTAGGTGTTTGACTCCCTTCCTTGTGGTTGAAATCACCCTTGGGAGATGAAAATCTTCAAGCCTCTAGATAGGAGCAAATCCTAAAACTCTTCTTCTCTCTTTGTTTGTCAGTTTCTCTCTCCAAAATCAGAAGAAGAAGAAGAAGACAATCTCTTACTTGGATCCCCCCTTCAAGTTTAAACTCACTTCTCCTTTTATACTCCATTCGTGCTCTCGTCACAATCGTAATCTCAAACCTTCGACCGTGCTCTAGCGCAAAAACACATCGTTTCATTTAAGCTCTTCATGGACTGGGTGGGAATATCACGGTCTCATGACTGTGATAACTTTTAGGCCCTCGATGTGTACTAAACTTTATGGACGCCAATGCTCTTCACTGTTTGGTCCTCTTCTTCACGGTCGGCTGACCGTGATAAAGCTGCTTTAACCGTGATCTTTGCCTTTTTTCCCTTTTCGATCCGCTTCCGTCCTCTTTCGTTCAACTTTCGCATCCAAGGAAAATTTCACCTCCTAGAACCTGAAACATGCTGGAAACACGCACAACCTAGCGTACAAAAGAATCTCAAGCGATGTAAACGCTCCAAACACCACAAGAATACGAGGTTAAAACATGTGTTATTAGAGCCGAATCATCAGCGTGCTTGGTGCGCCAGAAGTCTTCTCCGTCGATGGGTTTGGCTCAACTACATGAGCCAAGAGCAGATGTTTGCCGAGGATAGCGGCAAACATTGCAGCATCAACTTGTGGCTTGACGAATGGGGAGGAACGTTGCAGCGATCACCAAAAACTGTTGCAGCTGAATGGTCTTCTTCGACACTGTCACTGGCAATGCAACCATATCAATCAAAATCAGGATTTTAAGTAAACTTAAAAGGGGGGGGGGGGGTTAAAATCGGAATTATAAAATCGAATCGTAAAATCGTAGGATTTTAAGGTCCATATAAAAATGAAGACGGAATAATATTAATAAGGAAAATCATGAATAATACAACAACACATAACAATTACAATGATAATTTCTCAAGGTTAATATTATGATTTATCAAGGATAATGTTTGAAAGTGGTGAAGTGATTATGATTAATACGCTGATGTGAATTGATAATGGTCGATGGTGGTTAGTGTGCGAAAACTAGATGATGTAGGTGGAGGAGAAGGAAATTAGGCATAATTTTTCATTTTTTTTTTTTTTTTTTTGCGGGGGGGGGGGGGGGGGGGGGGGGAGGGGAAGTAAACTTGACCCAAAGATTTGAATCGTAAAATCGTAAGATTTTAAGGATTGAAATCGTGAATAGTGTAGGATTTTAATGTCCATAGATTTTATAGTGAAATCAGAATCGGAACAGGTAAGTAAAATCATAAAATCGTAGGATTTTAGGATTTAAATCGGGATTTTGACTGCTTTCATGCAGCTATGGTGGTGATTATAGTGGAGCTTTCCGCGACACTACTTTTCCATTGGTGGTTAGGGTTTGATCCTAAGACAACGATGGCTCAGAGACATTCGTCGGTAACGTAACAAGAGGTACAAATGACTCTAGCTGGGAAGGTTTTGCAACATTGACGGCAACAACACCTTCTTTCTATGCTTTAGCTTCCACTACTCGCACGAGACTGTCATATGCAACAATCATACTCTCGCAGGTAGTTATGGCTCTATCGCAGGTCGCGAGCATTAAGTTGATGATTTCTGCCATTGAAAGGACCTCTGAGTCTATAGTAATCGCGGATCGACTATATTGTAAAACTCTTCATCGGTTGAGAGTTTTGATGAACTCATATTCGCAACTAAGTTCTGATACCACTAATAGAAACCAGTTTTCCATCTGGTTTCTGGGTTGAATTGTGGGATTATGGACTAGGGATTATAAAAGAGAATTGTGTGGTTTATGGATTTAGAAGAGAATTGGGAAAGAATTAGGGAAGAACAAAGATAGATGGTTGGCAGCCTTAGGGGAGGAAGAGAGGTTGAGAGGATTAAGATTTTTTTAATATTCTTCTTTATTTCTTATGGCGTAATGCCTGAGTACATATTTATAGAGAATAATGAGAAACCCTTATATGACTAAAATACTGCTAACTATGTTCATAATAACTCTAACAATAATTATAATAAATAAGATAGAACCCAAAAGATTTTGATTTCTATCAATGTAGTACAACTCAACATTTTACCTTGCCAAGTATTCCAAGAAGGTGGTGGTTCCAACTGTTGTTTCCAATTTGGGCAAGACATCCTTTGTACTCATCTATGATGCTTTTATTTGCAGCTTATTTTGTTGTAATTAGTGCCCTTTGGGCTTGGTGTTCATTATAGCAGTATCTTTGATGTATTATGAAAGAAGGCTAAAATGGAGGAGGCTCTTATGATTCATAATTTTGGGAGAGTTATATAGAGTACATGAATAAAGTTAGGTACGAATTCATTCCTTTAGTTTTCTACAGCAATCACGAGGCATGTGGAAGCTAATTATGATACTGTATCAATTATGCAAATTTAATAGGAAGGTGTTGTATGAGATTGAATGTTGTGAGAATTCTCAACTTCTGGCTTTAAGTCTAAGGTTCATTCCTATCTCAAGTTTGTCAAATTATTTTTTGCTATATCTGACAGTCTGTTCAACTCATTCTATATTGGCTGTGCTATTGTTGCACGAGGTGATAGCTGATGCGGTCGTGCATCGAGCTTTACATTTATAAACTCGATCATCGATAATACTAACTTTTTCAATTTAGGACAAGTGCACCCTAGATCAGCAAAGTAGTATAGTGGTGACCGAGGTCTTATTCCAAGGGTCACAGTATCCGTCTATCCGAGGCTACTTAGGCTCGGTTGTTATCTAGTCGACCAGTTACTTATCAGGTTGCTGTCGATTCTGAACTAAAGATCGATAGAGGAGAAGAGGTACTTGGGGTGCCTCCCTTGCTCTAACTACAGGAAATGACATGCAAAAGGATATAAGGACGACTTATGGCGATCGATGTGTAGAGATCTCTAATCTAGGGATTGTCTTAATGGTCATGCAACCAATCTCACTCCTATGCCGATCCACTAGCCCAATGTCACCTCAGCTAGCTTCACGTTGTAGGGATAAAACCTATCTCCTCTAAATGCGTTTCACCCATTCGCACACTAGACTTTCGAGTCGATAGTCACGCACTAGACGTCCTAGCATTTCCTAGGTGGACGTCTAATAAGCAAGGGTACAGTTGCCTCGTCCACCATACTAGACTCCTAGATCATTCATCTACTCCTAACAAACCAGCGCTCAAATCCAATGTAATTCATGCAATCCTAGGCTACTATGAAAAGAATTGGAGAGACAAGCCCAAGCATACTTAATCATAGATGAACCATAAAACTCTAGGAAAACTCAGTTCATCAATAAATCCAAGAAAGATAATGAATAATCACCTACCATCTAATTTGCAACTAGGGCAAATGCGATACAGACAATCTCACACTACTTGATGCAAGAAAGATAATCATTAAGTAGACATAGGCAAATAGGTTCATAGTCATTCACAAATCTAGCCTAAAAACATCCTATTATATATCAAACTCTAGGTTAGGGTTTGGGGGACAAATCCCCAAAGTACATTCAAGGATTACTCCATAAAGGGAGGAAGAAGAAACATGCAAAGAGGGGAAGAAATCAAGAAGAAAGAGTCTTCAAGGGCTAGAAATCCTCCTCTAAAGCTCTCCTCCTCTTCTTCTCCAAGATTCTAATTCTCTCTCTAACCTCACTTTAGAATAAGAAATCTGCCAAAAGCCACACTACTCAAGGGAAAGAATCCCCTATTTATATAGTTTTGGGATGACATGCAAGTTCATGGCTGGATGAGGGAAGATTACGTGCGTGATCTGGAGAAGAGAGGTTGCGATCTTGGACGTAGGACTCGAGACTTGATGCGAGTTTATTAAGAGTATTTATGGTTTTCAAATTATTCAAGGAATTGTTATTTGAATTTAAAGTATTTCCACTATTTTTTCAAATCATTTTTTGGTTCACGGTTTATCAAGAGCATTTTGGTAAAACTAGTATTCGGGCAGATTAAGGTGTTACAAGGGGTATGTAACACTTTAGACAAATCTCATATCGATAAAGCACATGATAGATCCATAATTCATAAGTTAGAAACCGACATTAACTAATTAGACACGTTTTTGGGTGAAAGGAAAGAGTTCTAGTAAAAACTCAAAAGTCAAACGTTCTAGAAACGCAAAAATGCGTGACAATTGAAAAAAGTCACCTTGGTATGCACTTCAGGCAAAAACTATCCGGATCTAAACCTAAAACGGACAAAATTTTAGTAAGAAAAAAGGTAGGAAATTTGGAATGTTACACTTGACCGCCCAATAAAAAATGACAATCCTAAGTACCGATGTTGACCCCCAATAGTCCTCTTCCCCATGAAAGTACTTTTTCCAGAAATACCACCAAAAAGAAAAAAAATCCAAAAACCCATTTACAAAAAATTCCAAAAATAGCACTATTGCTCAAAAATCGTCACCTCTAACTTAGGTGAAAACTTCAAACGAACGTATCTTTGTGCTGGGGTATCCGATCGTAGCGAAATTTTTTTGATTCCAAATAAATTTTCAAGATCTTGCAAGCCGCGAACACCGTAGGTTGTTTGGTCCCGCCTTCGTCCCGAAAAACGTCGTTTGTTACCCCAAACGAGCTTTTTTCCGATTTGCCAAAATTTGGACGGTCATAACTTTGTGCTCCGCACTCCAAACGTCATGATTTTTTTTTTCTTATAACTTTTGAAGGAATACAATTTTTATCATAGCCATAATTTCGGAATGTACGTGGATTTTTGAAAAGTGAAGGTAATGTTATTGCCAAAATCCCGTATATCCAAAAATAAATCCTGTTTTGAAAATCCCTTCCTACTAAAAGTTGTAGTCCTTCAAAAATTATACGAAATTAAATAAAAAATTCATGACGTTCGGAGTGCGGAGCACAAAGTTATGACCGTCCAAAGTTTGGCAAAATCGGAAAAAAGCTCGTTCAGAGTAGCAAATGACGTTTTTTCGGGATGAAGGCGGGACTGTTGATTGCGAGATCTCGAAAAGTTATGCGCAATAAAATAAAATTCGCTACGATTGGATAACTGAGCACAAAGATACGTTCGTTTGAAGTTTCCACCTAGATTGTTCGGGAAAAAAATTGGACAAACAACTGGGTGGGGCAGCGATTTTGGACCAAACCGCCCCGACCACATGCGGTCACCAAAACCGCCGTCTACCCATGCGGTTTTTGCTGAAAACCGCACCCTCGAGTGGCTGTTCTTTGAAAAATGGTAATATTTTTGGAATTTTCGAAATTTTTTTTGTTTTTAGTGGTATTTCTAAAAAACAATCTAACTGGATAAATGTTTTTAACTTTTTATAGAAGAATGCAGCCCAAGTTGAAATTTGGATCTCCCGGTTAAAAATCTATACCCACATCTCGTCTCGTTTCCGAATTAAAGCCCAATTAAATTAGCCTCGTTCGGCTCTCTCTGTAAATCTTCAGCTTTTCATTCGCCGGCTTCGCCGTCTGCCCCGGTTTTCCGCGGCGGTTGAAGGCCTTTATTTTGCTCCGCGCTCCGGCGAAGCGACGTCTTTCAAAGTATGAGCATGATAGGTATTTACGATTTTTTCTTCCCTGATTTCGAAGTTCTAGATGGAATTGTTTGCCGTTCGGTTTCTGAAACTTCCCGGCTCCCTTTGAGTCGAACTCGAACTTATGATTGAAGGGGCGCAATCGGAGAGAGGAGATGAGAAAGTATCATTGGAGTTGACGGAAGAGATCCTCAAGAGTATGGAAATCGGCATGGTCTTCAGAGACTATGTAATTCTTCCGACTCAGTTATATTATATGTGGCGTCCTTGCTAAATGATTTTTTGTTTTCAAGTTTAGGGTTCTTTTTTCATTCTGATTGCTTCTGTTTTCGCGTCAGAGCGGAAGAATCAGTTCCATGGACTTCCATAAGCCGTCGAGCTACTTGGTGACTGCTAGCGACGACGAATCCATTCGCCTTTATGATGTTGCGAGTGCAACGTGAGCTCTGGCCCTCCTTGATATTGATTTAGATTACTGGAGCTTAATTTCCATGTACTTCTGAACTTCAAGATGATTCTTTCGTGGTTTTCAGATGTTTGAAGACAATTAATAGCAAGAAGTATGGTGTTGATCTGGTTTCCTTCACTTCTCATCCTACAACCGTTATATACTCCTCGAAAAATGGATGGGATGGTATGTTTGGATAGATATGGTGTTGATCTGGTTTACTTGTCACTGTTCTGCTTATGGCTCTTTATGTGCTCTTATACACTTGCAAACTCGTTGTTACAGAATCTCTTCGGCTCCTCTCACTGAACGACAACAAGTATTTGCGATACTTTAAGGGTCATCATGACAGGTTTGCTGAGTTAACTTCCTTGAATTCTTTGTGTCAATGGGTACTGGATGATCCTATATGCTTGTTTCTTATCTTGCAGGGTTGTATCACTAAGTTTCTGCTCTCGGAAAGAGTGTTTTATATCAGGTTCTCTGGATAGAACTGTGTTGCTTTGGGATCAACGAGCTGAAAAGTGTCAGGTTTGACTGATATCTTTGTTTATTGTGGCTGAGCTTGCGAAATCATGCTTCAATTTGCGATATGAACCTCTGACAGGTCATTTGGCTGGATAATTGGATATCTGCAATGACATGGAGTTGAGCAAATATTTGGTTTTGCATTCACACTTCGATATATGTGGGTGTATTTGAAATTGCACATGCAGTAATGGTTTACTATATCAGAATGATGCTTATCTTTAATACATAAGATACAAAGTAATAAACAAGGTGCACTCTGAAATAGTGGTTCTTGCATGTCTTTCTTCACTCTTTTAAAACAAATTTCTCCACTAATCAATAAACGAAACAATTTGTTTCTACCTTACATGATAACAAGAAAAAAAATAACATGCAATTGGGACAATTAACACACCCTAAGCTGAATTCCTTCTCTTCACCCAGGGCCTTTTGCGGGTTCAAGGACGACCTGCAGCAGCATATGATGATCAGGGACTTGTTTTTGCCATTGCCTTTGGAGGATTCATCAGAATGTTTGATTCTCGTAAATATGAAAAGGTAAGTTCTGCACCGTTTATGTTCCATAACATATTTGGTAATAACACTGACAAGTCTTGACGGATCCCTATTGCTGAGGTTTAAAATTACCATTTAGGGTCCTTTTGAAATCTATTCTGTTGGCGGAGATACTTCGAATGCAAATGCTGTAAAGTTCAGCAATGACGGCAGACTCATGCTTCTGACAACCATGGATGGGAATATACATGTCCTCGATTCATTCCGTGGAACATTGGTAAGTTTGTCTCTCAGTAGCATGAACTTGGAGCCCTTATGAGCAATGATGCTGAAGTGCATCTACCGTCACTTTTTCATTAGCTATCCACGTACAATGTAAAGCCAGTTTCAAGAGATTCCACATTGGAAGCATCTTTCAGCCCCGATGGAATGCATGTTATATCAGGTAAACTGCTTCACCTGGAGCATTCTCATATTTTCTTTCAATTTGGATGGAAACCTTCTTATTATCTCTTTCCTCTGGTCACTTTGTTGAATAGGCTCTGGTGATGGAAGTGTACATGCTTGGAGCGTAAGGTCTGGGCAGGAGGTAACAGATTTAACTTTCTTTTCTTTTTCCAAGATTCAATGCACTGTGCCAATGGAGGGTAGCTGTTGGTAGAAATGAGTGTGGAGTCGTCCTTTAGTCGAAAGGGCATGTCTATGCATAAAATAGATGTTTCTACAAGTAGGGGAAATGGTGACCGAGCTGTTTCTGGCATGCATTATTGCATCTCAGATGGTTAGAGGAGCGCATGCTCGCAATACTGTGTCTTTGCCATAGCATAATCCTTTGCCTGTGGTTTGCAGGTAGCGAGTTGGATGACTTACGAAACAGAACCCCACGTCATAAAATGGGCTCCTGGAACACTTATGTTTGCAACTGGGTCTTCAGAGCTATCGTTTTGGATTCCAGATTTGTCAAAACTGGCTGCTTATGTTGGGAGAAAGTAGATCCTGTAGATATAAATATCATCATTGGTTTATTACTGAATTGAAACTCATGACAGAAGCCTTGTTTGCTGCTGGGTCTATAGTGTCACTAACGACTAGCTAATGCAATATAGTTAGGTAGTATAACTCGATTGATGAACCCAAATGAACTCGATGTATTTACGGAAGAAGGATATAGAGGTTAGTATGGCTTTGTGTGATCTGGAGGAAGGAAATGGAAATGGTATGTAGCTCAATACTTCCGGTAACATGATTTCCTCAGCCTTAGCGGTGCATAGTTAAAGAGCGGTATTGTAGAACACGAGTAGCACACAAATAATCTTATAAAATAAGATAAAGAAATATGAGTAAAGAATTGGCCTTCTAGACTAGAGTGTTGGGCGTTACTCGTTGTTAGAGTTCGAGTATATTACGAGATGGGTTGTGGCCCTTGCTGATTCGTCTTCAACCTTTAGAGAGACACTATACAAAATGTTTTGTTAATCTAGTTTTACTTATGGCTCTATGTCTCGGTTCAAAGGTGGCTTATCTTTTGAGACCGATTGTCTAACTTTTTATCTTATTCCAAGCGAACTCCAAGTTGAGTTCCTTCGAGAGGAATTTAGACCCTTACCAAAAATAGAGTGATAATCTCTCTCTCTTTCTCACAAGCACTCACGCCAAAGTGAGAAACTATACAACCTCACAATCACTCAACTAATATAGACAGTGAACCTCTATCACTTCTGACACCTATTACTAATCACACAATGTTTTATCTTGCATTGTATAGGATTGCTCTGCCACATTCTGTGAGACTTGTCTTGTTGCTTCCTTCTATTTATAGTTTGTTAATGTGACATACTTCTCTTGATTTGGGAGATTCTTTTTTCGATCTTTCTTTGATTTAGGAGATCCTGCGATCATACTTTCACAGCTATGGCAAGTAAGATAAATATAGAGATTTTTAACCTAGGTTGTTACCTTTTGATATATGGGAGTAGAAAGGGAAAACCTTTCTTTTCCCAACAATCTCCCCCTACTTTTCTTTCGACAACAATTAATTTCTCAAGGGATATCAACCATCACAAGTAGCGCTAGGAAAATAGACCAGACCGAATCGTAGACTATTAAGTATGGTCTGGTCTGGTCCATGGTCTGTATTATTTTATGTTTTGATCTCTTGGTCTGGTCTGGTCTATACCGCGGTTTACCAGACCAAACGTGGATCCAACCGACTTGTCAATACGTGTTAACAACCCATTCGACCACTCTCCCAACTCCCACAATGACACCCAAGCTCAACCTTAGCTTTGTGACTCTCGTTCCTCCTTCATTCAAAACCACATTTAACCAGAGAGTAGAGATAATTGTGTCTTCATATGGCATTATGTTAATGTTTATGACGTTATGGTGCAAGTTGGGATGCTTTTACTTTGTATCTTTGTTATGTACTGAGATTTAGGGTATCAAAATTATTCATGCATGTTAGAATTAATGTTTTAAGGCAAATAACAATTATTTTTCTTGGTTATTGGTTCAATTTTTTGTGTGGTTGACTAAACAAATTATTCATTTTTCGTTGAGTGTAGCCTATTTGGACCAGACCAAACCAAACTGCACAGGCGTGGTCTGGACCAGACCGTATAGTCTGTGGTCTGGTCTGTGGTCTATACTTCAGCCTATCGGTCTGAACCATAGACCGTATATATGGTCTGGTCTGGACCAGACCACACCGGTTCCTAGCCCTAATCATAAGAGATGCTAAGAAATCAATATTAAATTTAAAGTAGGAAAGCAAAGAAGACCATATTGTTATATCAAAAGAACCATATCACTAAAAGATACATATCACAAGAAGAACACATCAAAGTCAAAAGTAAAACAACGAACGCAACATAAGAGACTTAACATACCTCGTACTCCCCGTGATTACAACAAACATCCCCTATATGTCAACTTGTCCCAAAGGTAACAAATAAGGTAACCTCATCCTCATTCTCCAGCTTGGTGGCTAAGAACCCTAAGATGGCTGTAGGTATTGGAGATGGAAAAAATCTTGGGAAGAGAATAAAGAATCGCCATATGCTCAACAGAGTAGTCATCAAGATTGCACCCACTATTTGTAAGAAACTGGGTCATAAGGGTGGCATAGGGAAAAGTAGTGTCCCAGAAGCCTTCGCGTGGAGCGATCTTGGCCATGTGAAGACACATAAGGGAGACAAGATTAACATTTTCGTCCTCGAACAACATTGACCATAATGAGTGGATCAATGTGTTCAATGGTGTAGAGATGAGTAGTGCGAGGAGGAAAGAACCTGGTGATATGTTAGTAGTAGAGTACTTTATGATGGTCAATAGAGTAGATATGTCGATGATCCCGCGAGTCAGCGGTTGAAGCTCTGTCTCATAGTCAAAATCATAGAGCTGAAGATTTGACGTGTACACTAAGATGGAGGATGGTAGCAAGCAGGGGCGGAGCCAGGATTTCAAGTCCGGAGGGGCCGAAAATGATTAAACGAAATGTATGTAGCTATGGTGGATCGAACCCGTGTGCTTTTAAAACACACGTCAAGCTTGTGTACCATTAGACTACATGACTATTACACAACAAAAATTTACGGAACAAGTTCTTCTTATAAAATTCCCAAAATACATAAGTTATAAAAAAATTTCCCAAAATACACATGTTTGGCATTCACCGTTTTTGACAAACGCAGTGAAGAATATCACCGCGTTTGACAAAGACGGTGAATTGTTCACCGTTTAAAATAAAAATGGTGACGAATTCACCGTCTTCATCTAAAACGGTGAACAAACAGCGAGGCAATCACCGTTTTAGACGGACACGGTGAATCAATCACCGTTTTAATTAAAAGCGGTGACATTTAAACCGCGTTGATTGGCCACGATGAAGTGAAGCGGATCGCTGACGTGGACAAACGCGGGTATTCGCCGCGTTAAACAAACACAGTGAATACACCGTGTTTGTTTGCGTCAGCGATCCGCGTCGCTGACGCGTTCACCGTGGCCGTCGGATGCGGTGAGGCGCGGATCGTGGTTTTCTTCCCAGATCCGACGCCTCACGCTAAGCCACGTCGCTCGATCCGCGCCCTTTCACCGTCCTCGAGAAACGCGATGCCTTCACCGTTTCTGACAGAGGCGGTGAATGCCCCCCAGAATTAATTCGGCTGATCCCTTCCCCCAACTATAAATATACCCTTCTCCACCACTTACAACTCACACCACAACCATTTCACTTCTTTCTCCCGCAATTTATCCGCTCTAGTCTCGTTCTAAGTATGCTCTGTGGTTGCGGCTAAGTCCGATCTTCCACATCAGAAAGAATTACTAGAGTTTGACCCTAACCGCTAAGCTCCCGTCCCTTACAAACCCAAACCCGTCGAACCTCTGTCCGGCTTCTGCCAAACGCGGTGATATTCTTCATTGCGTTTGTCAAAAACGGTGAATGCCAAACATGTGTATTTTGGGGGAAAATTTATAACTTATGTATTTTGGGAATTTTTTTTAAGAACATGTGTACAGTGGGATTTTTTCCAGCATCCCCCTATATGTCAACTTGTCCCAAAGGTAACAAATAAGGTAACCTCATCCTCATTCTCCAGCTTGGTGGCTAAGAACCCTAAGATGGCTGTAGGTATTGGAGATGGAAAAAATCTTGGGAAGAGAATAAAGAATCGCCATATGCTCAACAGAGTAGTCATCAAGATCGCACCCACTATTTGTAAGAAACTGGGTCATAAGGGTGGCATAGGGAAAAGTAGTGTCCCAGAAGCCTTCGCGTGGAGCGATCTTGGCCATGTGAAGACACATAAGGGAGACAAGATTAACCTTTTCGTCCTCGAACAACATTGACCATAATGAATGGATCAATGTGTTCAATGGTGAAGAGATGAGTAGTGCGAGGAGGAAAGAACCTGGTGATATGTTAGTAGTAGAGTACTTTTTGATGGTCAGTAGAGTAGATATGTCGATGATCCCGCGAGTCAGCTGTTGAAGCTCTGTCTCATAGTCAATATCATAGAGCTGAAGATTTGACGTGTACACTAAGATGGAGGATGGTAGCAAGCAGGGGCGGAGCCAGGATTTCAAGACCAGAGGGGCCGAAAATGATTAAATGAAATGTATGTAGCTATGGTGGATCGAACTCGTGTGCTTTTAAAACACACGTCAAGTTTGTGTACCATTAGACTACATGACTATTACACAACAAAAAAATTACGGAACAAGTTCTTCTTATAAAATTCGTACTAAATATCCTTACGATCCTAGGGGTCGGGACCAATCCGGGGGGGGGGGGGGGGGGGGGGTGGGGCACCCTACCTTAAGTGTAGCTCCGCCCCTGGTAGCAAGTTGTTAGGATCTGAAAAGTGACATGGAAGCTGGACGAGAGGGACCAGGTCTTGTCAGACGAAGATTACGGTAGAACTTCCGAACAACCAGTGGACAGAAAGCAGAAGAATGAAGTACTCGGAGATCGAAGAATCCTTCCCAACCATGATTAGTAATGAGCAATGTTCAAAAAGACGCTAGGCGTAAGGCGGAGCTTGAGGCTTTGCCTAGCGCCTAGCTCGCCTAGGCGTTGGAAGAAAAATAGCTATTCGCACTACATGATGAATTAAATAATAATCTCCAACACTTCCTCACTACAGTTAAAATGATTAATAACTTACTCAACACTTAATTACAAGAACATAGCTCATGAATTCATAAAATTATAGCTCAATAGCTCACAAAGTTCTTGAGATATTGAAATATTGATATAGAAATTTGATTTCGTAGTTTATGTTAATTTTTTCCTTAATATTGACTTTCTAGCTCCATCTAGTAATGGTTAGGAGAGACTTATATGTCACCTTACGGTTTTTTTTCCCCCAGTATCTAATTAGGCGTGAAACCTCTAGGTGAGGCGCTTTGCCATTGTCTTGCGCCTAGGCGTGCCTAAGCATAAGGTTAACCGTGTCTTTTTTAACCATGGTAATGAGAGAGGCAACCCCATATAGAAAGGATGATAAGGAAGAAAGCGCATACTCACTGTGAATGGGGAGCATGCTAGAGGAGTAGTGGTAATCACCTTGACTAATGCCGAAAATAAAGTCTTGACCACATTCATTACTTGGAAGACTCTTTGTACACCACAAAGTCCACTAAATATCAAACTTTAATCTTCACTTGTAATCAATGCTTTTATGGAGAACGTAAATGCCAAAAAAAAAAAGTATACATGTACTGATGTACATGCAACACAGGAAGTTGTATGCACTTGGGATAAATCATATTCTAACAGATGTGTCATGGGGTGCTCAAGTTCTCCTCATCAACCGACTGGTGAACAACGTACTCCTATTGACTAACAGATGTTTGAAGACATGGTTACGCTCGTGAATATCTAAAACTAAGCATGGTTACACTCGTGAATATCTCTAAAGTATTATCACCTATGACTCCAAGCAAGAGGAAACTGCTTAAGATGATAAAACCAAACCAAACCTATGACTTCAAATAGCCCTGCAGGAAAACATTCCTGATGCTAAATCGGTGACACAGGAATTAAAAGCATACATCCGACCAATACCCTTGCATCACAAGACTTTGCACCTTCCCAATCACCATTCCCCAGTAGGTGGTTGTTGAACACTAGGCATAGCTTAGTGTTAACAACGCCGTCAGAACGCTGTATGACGAGCCAGACAGTCTTGAGACGCACTAGACTCGGTACACCTGAAGTTACTGGTCAAAAATAACCAGAGAAGAGAGCATGCAATTTATCAGAGACCATCAAATATACAAATACCAAGGTTCCTTTGAAGGACGAATATCCGCGATACAACTAGCCGGGTTGCATAGGAATCTAAAGAAGAATGTACACCGAGACTATTTATTTACGATGGCCACAACTAATCGTATATGCTAGATGTACAAGGGTTCAATTTAACGTTGCGAGGTTAAAACCAAGGATGCCAAGTTGGATCCATCATGCACAAGTTCCTCGGCATCAGCGCTGCTTCCACCAACTCGTTCACTCCCCTCTGCACCGAATAGGGCGGATCCATCGTGTTGTCCTCCTGAATATATAACTCACCATTATTCAGTATCAACGCACCTTGTTGACTTCAACTACAGCCTCATTAAACAAAAACTAAAATCTAGCTCCAGTTAGTAATGTGCATTACCTCTTCCGACAAAAACTGAGGCGCAATGGCATGGATCCTGGAGATGACGTGGTCCACATTCGTCGTTACCTTGAGTTTGAAGTCGACAGGGTTTGTGCCAGACCCTCCAGCAGCTGGCGCCATAGGCATCCCGAGTGGCCTTCTCCAAGACCAGGACACTAGCTCGTCACGGAAAAACATAGCTAACTGGTGCCACAAGTGCTGACTTTGCTGCATTAAACAAAAACCAAGTCTTGTTAGTCAACGTCGAGATATTAGTGAAATAGGGAACATCCTATTGTCAACGACTGACTACTAGGGGTGTGCATGTTATGATCGGGACCAAGATTCAGACCAAATAAGCATGGGACCAGGATAAAAAACAACGCAATAATGAGCACCATAGCCAAACAGAGAGGCCACGTGGTATCATTTGATCCAGTGCGTTCTTTTCTTTATTTTCGAAGGATCTGTAACCGAATCGAACTATATTCAGCTCAGTCTGATCCAATGCAAATCTCCATTTGGTCTGATCCAGTGTGGATCCAAGAATCACTACCAACCCCCTACTGGTGACAGACAGTTTACTAACTCTTTACCTTAGGGGAGACCAAAGCCTGTGCAGCAGCACACATTGAAGAGACAATAAGACCTTCCACACCAAAATGAGAGAAAAATGCTTGCATGTTTCTCGTTAGCCGGAATGGTACAGGCTCAGTGAACTCCACCAACCCATTGGCATCATATGTTGGGTGAAAATCTGTCTGGAATATCTTCCCCGTGTTCTTGGCAAATAATATCTTGTTTGGGGACCTTCCCCCTATTTGCAGCATGTAAGACATGAAACTCGACAGAGCCAACTGAGTGGCAAACTGCTTCTTAAAAGCCCAGATATGGTTCCCACTGGGAAGAGTCTTGTACATATACTGGGAAAAGATGCTGTCAGTCACTAAGTTCTTTGTTATATCACTGTACGCTTGCAGGCGAAGATCTACAATAGCTTCAGGAGAAACTTGGCCAGAGATTGCTTGGTTTAGTTGCTCCTTGAAATATGTGATTGGAAGATCAGCTTCCCGGTCGTTTCTTGCACAGTGGTTTTCATAAACCTCTAGAAGGGTGTTGTACATCACATCATCTTCAACCATCCGTACCTGTTGTTCATCACCACGAAATATTGTCAGAAATTAATTGGATTGTCTATTAAGAGTGAGCAACTTGGTTCGGTTTTGCAGGTAACGAAACGTCCAAACCGGTCAATTGCCAACAAAGTAAAAACTTGAAAACCAGTTTATAAAGGCCAATACGTTAACTTTGGTTTCCGGTTCGCCGCTAAGATTATCGTGTCTGGTCAAGGCAAAAACCCACTAAAGAGCATAGTTAGTAAAAATCCAAACAATACCCATGTGCAAGACTTCTGTTTCCATGCAGCTCTAGAGCTATTCCATAATTTTCCATTTATTTGATGTTTCAAGTACAACACATTTGATCCATGAAGTAAAATATAGATAATTTAATGATTTGTTCTATTTATATTTGCTTTGAAATTATAAATTCTGAAAAATACTATAAACGGCCAATATTTGATAACTTGTGTTGAACTTTAATTAGAATGACGTGTAGACCCTATGCGTATTAATAATCCTTACGATTAGCAAACCATAACCGAATCCCTTATCTAAGGGTTTATCGAGACTGTTAGCCAATGTGCCAAAAACAATAACCCCTACGATTAACTGCCAGCCAGCTCGATCCTGTCCATGTGTACTAGAATATTCTACTTATGAAAGAAGAAAGAGAAACATTACCTGGGACCAAACAGGAATGATGATTGGTGTGTGAATGGATATGTGGCGACGTCTTGATTCTTTGTGCTTGTCAAACATCTGGTTCATTACACGGAACAGTTGCAGCATGCGTTCATCACTCCTTGCATTAGGAGTCAGAGAAGTCTGGACAATAAAATGGCGCTGACTACCATCTGATCCTATCAGAGTCAACCTACGGAAACTGCTGCCATGCCTTCTAACAATTGGTATATCAGCTCCAACCCTGTCCAACTTAACTGTATGATCTGGTGCAACTTCCTGCTTAAAAGTTGGGGGGAAAGCGTGATATAACCAAAGAGAGGTACAAACAAAAGGAATAAATTGGCAACCATAGAAGACTAGCAATCCCATCAGCAAGATAGAATACCTGATCACTGAAATACTGTCCAGGCACCTCCACATCGACCACATGAAAGTCACGCAAGACCCTACTTTCTTCCTCCAGCTTCAAGACAGCAGGAAAACGATCCTCGACATTACTCTGAAGCACATTTTTCCAGTGTTTCAGCCTTTCAGTCAATTCAGAGAGTGTTCCAGGGAAAGTAGATGTACTTTCTGGATCAAGATCACGTTCGAAGTCTTGCTTATACTCTCTCACAAAATCAACATGTTTCGTCACAGCATCTGCCGAAAAGCAAGCCCTGCAAACACCAGAGAGCTCCTTCTTCAGGGATTGAGGAACCTCAGCAGTAGTAGCAGTGGGATACTTGTAACAGCGGTGGAGCAAGGCATTAACCACTGCAAGCAGCCTCTCCTCAGGAAGAGTGACAAAGCGTGAGCCGATCTCTGTGAGGAGAACCTGCAAAACCAATTGGCGCACGTCGTAGATGTAATCAATCAATTTGGCAGTAGCACAAAATAATCCACCGTATACGAATTATTAAAATCCAACACCCAAAATACTAGTAATATTTGATTTCCATACTTTGCCCTTTAAAGTAAATTTTATTCTTAAACTTAATACCCAGTCATTTTTTATTATTATTAGATAAACCATCTACAGTCCTATCAAATGATTCTCTATTTACAAAAATATCTCACATCTATCAAAGCAACTTTTTTTCTAGAAACCAACCACACGCTTTATCTCCGCTTACTACAACTTAAAAGCACGTCATCGACTTATAAAAAGCTAAAACAAACACACCTGAAATCATTCTCAATTTTAAAAGCTAAAACAAACACGCCCACAATCATTCCCAATAAGAAAGTAAAACATAAGCACAAGCACTGCAGTTAAAACAGATGGCTTCCATGGTTTTTCTGACACAAGACACATCCTCGAGGAAGATTTGATTCAAACTTGCTGAAACGCCAGGAGGCTACATGAATACAGAGCAACTGCAACTATCCAAAAATGAAAAGGAAACGTTCTAGATCAGACAAGTAAATCGAGATCTAGTACCAGTATATTACCTCAAGTTCGCTAGCCAAATTAGTGTGCTTACTCCTAAGAGCCTCCATGATATCCTTTGCAGCATCAAAAGCAATGGCAGCAGAAGCAACCAACCCCATGGCACCATTACGCCGGACAGCATTCTGAGCACCATCGCTCATTGATGCAGATGTTTGCTGCAAAGGTTGATCATTCCCCCCACCATGCCCACTACTTTCAGATGGTGTGGGCCTTTCAGGTTCTTGCCCATGAGAGTTTCCACCATCATGAGATGGCATTCCACCTCCGCTGTGACCTTGTTGAGCTTGATTGTCTGAGGATAAAATACCACCACCTTGAACTTGTACTCTACCATTCCCATCAGTGGTCAATCCCAGAGAACCAGCTCCAGCAGCAATAGCATTTTGTTGTATTCTTTGCTGCGCCATTGCTAGTCTACCAAGTTCAGACTTGTTGGCCACATCACGACGCTCGAGCAAATATGTGCGGAGCCAGTAGTAGAGAGACTGACAATTGAGATCAGACAAATCAGAACCTTCATTATTAACATATCTACATAAAAGAAGATTACTTGTCTGCCCAAAAATGACCCATGGTGAATACCTGAGGGTACACAGCAGCAACTTTAAGCAAAACAAGTTTACAATGAGGCGCCTCTGTCCTCTGCAAGGAAAGCAATAACTGGGGAATCCAAGCAAGCCAAACCCAGTGGGGTATTTGCTCCAAGTATTTATCGAATGCTCTTCCAACGGGTTCATTGGGAGTGTCAAAACTAAGAAGATACAGAACCCTAGCCAAGTGGCTTCTGGAGTTCGAAACACCAAATTTGATTCCCTGAAGAAAGCAGCTCACAGCATATTCGAGCCAGATCTCATCATGAGTTTCTTTATACGCCTGAATTGAAAACATAGCACAGCTGATCAGCAATTGGATCAAGTCGGCTACCGGAACCCAGGAAAAAAAACTACAGAAAAGCATACCATTTCACTATAGTTCCCCCAGCTTATCCATCCTTTAGGCAAATTTTTGAAAAGGGTGATGGCATTGGAATATGCAAGATTAGCACCTTCCGCATCATTTAGCTTTGACAGAAAATCACCCTTCAGACGGAATATTTCTGCTTTGTGCTTAATAGGAAAATACTCCAAATTAGTGCTGTTGATCAAGTTGAGACCACTTATAAGTTCTCCTTTCATCTCTAGATAAGCTTTGGCCTGCTCTCTTATCTTGACAAAAGCCTCCTGTAAATTTCCACAACCGACAAAAACTGCTATAAGTTGACCCAAGCATCAATAGGATAGAAGGGATTGTAACTCAGTAAAAAATTATCCAAAATACATCAATCAATAACTACCAAACACTATCATATGGGTTTGGGCAAAACACTATCATATCGGTTTCCTATATGTCCACTTATTCGAAATAGAATGGTATAGTCACAAATCAGGCAAACTTGAGCTCAAGATAACAGAAAACTCATACAACAGCAACAGACCTGTACTTCCATGGTCGAATGACCATACAATTTTTCAAGAATCGTCACACAAACGTCATGAAGGCCTTGTTTACGAGCAATATGAGCAAGCTTATTCACATTCCACGCTTTGTCACGATAGCCAAGGTGATGGAGTTGTTGGTTTGTAGTTATAAAATCCTTGAATGCTTCAATAACAGAGTTATACATTTCGTTTCTCCACTGCAGAAGATCAAACCACACAGACATATTATCCCATTCATTTGGTGTTCTTAATCTCCATGTCTCCAAAATGTCTTTCAGATCTGCATAGAGATTTCCATGGACACCAACCACAGAACTACCAGACAATTTATTTCCATTAGCGATGTCCACAATAATACGGCCAGACTCCTGAACTTCCACAAGTTGCTGGAATTGCTGCAACAAAGGAATCTTAGCATGAACAGACATTTCAGGCAACTGCCACCACTGTTCAAGGGCAAGATCAACTCCTTTTCCAACTATGCTTTCAGCATCCGCAACACCATTGGTGGTTTTGTCATGAAGAGCAAAGAAGGCCTGTACCAAGCGAAGTTTAGGACTTTCTTCTACTTGAGCTTTAGGGATTACATGATCCTTCATGAACCCCCACTCAGGCAGCTTCCAGAGGGTATCAAGTAGTATCTCATAGTTCTCAATGCTTTTCCCAAAATCAACTAATGCGTCCCACTGACTTAGCTGACTGGCACAGTAAAGCCATTGTTCTTCCCAGAGACACATCTCAGCTTTAGGAACTGTATTGTTGTATGTACCCTGAGTTGCCTTGACCATTGCCTGATAAAAGAAGCTTTGAGCACGGTGCCAGTAGCCATGCTGAACAAGTGAAAGTCCTGCCTTTGTCTCCGCAGTGATGGATCTTTTTTTCCAAAGTCCACATCTCATATCTTCTTCGTTGAGTAAGCGATATAGTTCAGCCAGTGATTCAGAACACTTGGTATCATTCATGAACAACATAACATGGCTTTCCAGTAAAGCCAAAGCAATGTGCCATGCATTGTATGTTTTACCTATGTACTTAATGAGTTCACTAGGCATCCGAGGCTGGGGATGGCTCAACTGAAGCCCCTCCAGGAGTGCTTGGACAACATTTGGTCTGCTACCTTGCTGCTTCTTGTGATAATCCTTAGATAGCAGAGTGATCATGGGCTTAGCTAATGCTACCTGTTCTTCCTTGTGCAATGTTACCCAAACAATAGGAAATACAAGAACCCACAAATGATATGCAACATTTGAATCTGTGTGAGCCAGCTCTCTTAGTGGAAGAACCAGATCACACACCTGGAAAAGGGAACAAAATAAAACTCAGACGGCACATAAGTTCATAAAAGAAAACTTCTAATGTTGATTAATCAACTCTGTAGGAATGCAGGGTGTTACCACACCACCTATAAAGAAACATGGAAATCCTCAAAAAAAAAAAAAAAAATTGTTCAGCAACCTGAAGTTTACTTGTTTCATTAAGAAACTGGGCATGCTTGAGAACGAGACCATCAAATGTTAGAGCACCCTCCTGCGTACCATCTGAAACATCCATAACTTCTTGTTGCATTGCAGAACCATCAGGAAGAGAACCTGAAAGCACTAGTGGAAGCACCCGGGCAGAGTTTGGAGCAAGTGTGATGGGTTTATCTTCAACTAAGATTGCCAAAAGAAGATCAAGCCCTTGCTTGAGCCAGAAAACATCACTTAAAGCCTCCCAATCCTGAATTTGAATAATATATTGTAACCTCGTAAACAATGACTTCCCAAGAGATTCATGATACAGTAAGAAAAACTTCATCCTCATTTCAGGGTCCCTTGCCCTTAAACCAAGCATGAATTGCCGTTCAACCTTCTGAAATACCTCCTGACGTAAAGCCAGTGCATATCTGACAGTAACCAATATGCTATGTTAGGATTCCCAATAAAATGCCAACCACCAATACAGTAAAGAGAAAAAGGTAAACTTACTTATTAGAATCCGCACAAATTCCATAAAGCAGCTGCAAATACTTCCTGTCCCACTCTTCCAAAGAATGAGGGGAGAAGTTCTGTTTCTCAACTTGCGATAACTTCTGAAGAAATGAAACAATTTCTTTTGGATTCAGGAAGGCACTTGATGTGCCCACTCCTGGTCTGCAGAAATCTTCTTCAATCCACCCTTTCACCACATCTAGTGTGCAAAGAAGCACGGTAGCATCAGTGCCTTTCTCTGAGAGCAATGCATTCAATAGCTGTGTGACTAATCTTTTGCATTCTGGAACTGACATGACCTTTTCACTTATAAGCTTCAATACCGATTTCAAGTTAGAGATGACTGCTCCAAAATCCACACCTTGTCGGGAAGAAGAAACTGCTGAATCAGGATCTGTACGCTGACCCTAACACAAAGAATAGGACAAGAGATTATACAAGTGACAACCATTGCAGCGAAAAGAATACACATAATGAAAAACAACTCGCCTATGTTTGTTTCATCCATTTTATTAAGTTCCTAAAATAAGTAGAAAAAATAGTTCAAACAAATTAGTAAAGGCTTAAACTCATATCACCTAAAGGCATTTCACGTCCAACTTCGTGCAGTTAAACACAAATTCTCAAAGTTCACAGAACTTATTCATTTGTTTATCCCTAGAAAAACATCTCCGACCCATCATGAACGTTTTATAAATATAAAAAATTTCTCACTTGCATCAATTCTACTCTTTCTAGAACATTTCAAAAAACCAATTTCCTTCTCCTAAATCGTAAGTTCACAAATCATCCTTAGGAGCAACCAACTAGAAATGTTCATCATGTATTTACACAATCACTCATGTAACTCTAAGTTGAACGCCAAAATATATTGCTTGAGGTCTAACAAGATCAGAAAATTTGAGTAATTTCAGACATCTGGTTCTGTAAGAGAAGGCAACGAACCCTTAAACGGAAGGGGACAAGAGAAGCCATTAGGAATGACTGGTGCGATGTTACAGCAAAGACAAACCAGTTATCATATGGAAGAGCACACAATTTAGGTTTCTTTGTCTCCCAGAACCATCAGGTTCGTATCAAATGAAACATATAGCAGTATTCTCAATCGATATGCAAAGATGCAGGCACAGGCCAATTCCAGAAAAATTACATTAGACTAATAACAGGTCTAAGTATAGATGGCACATTGCAGTTGCAAACCTGTCTCAAATGTGAACTTGCTGATGACCCCATATCTCGAACCAACCGTTGAAGAATACGAACCAAGATGTATGGATCAACGTTCTTCTCTACCTCTGTCAAGGTTTTTATAACAAGTAGCACGAAAGTAATTGCAGTTGTAGAGTTATCCTCGCCTGATGTTTGAGGAGCAGTAACAATGGTAACATGCTTTTGTATCAGCTCGTCAACTTTCTGAAACAATAGCTTAACATCTGGCGGTGTACTAGCAGCATCAGGCGGGAAAGCAATAAAGACCATCTTCAATAGGGTGGACAATGATTTCCCAGCATCCAACATTTTGTGCTTGAAACAAGGTTCCAAAATCTGATATGAAGAAGAGCACAACCATAAATAACTTGAATGGCTATTATATATATCGTGCAGGATGAAAGATGTGAGTGGGTTTTTATTATGGTAATACCTGAGAGATCTGACTAATATTATTTCTAATGAACAAATGAGGCTGTTTCTCCAATACTTTGTTCATGACATCCAAGCCCTGTGCAAGAGCTGTTGAAGGATCCTTTGACTGTGATGGTTGGATGCTGCTGAGCAGCTTTTCTAGATAGTTGAATTTGACATTAGCATTTGGCCACACATCTAAAGCTTGTGACAGTAACTCCAAAGCTTGTCTATACATGGTACTTGCTTCCTTGTCCTTTGGCTCAATGACTAAGGCAACCTGTAATCACAGCAAGACATTCAAATATCATGTTCCTAGAATGCAATTGTTCTTACTGAAAACAAAGATGCAAAAGAATGCAGTATGTGAATACTTCGAAAACATGGACAATCAATTAATCAGCATCTCTATCATGTATCACCTTACGACTAGTAGAATTCAGCTAAACTCGAATTGATGGATTCTCGGGCCTAAATTTGGCAGTTCGCAGTCTCAACTCATTAACACAAATTCATAAAATGGAAATGGAAAAGCATTCATTTGATAGTGTTAAGAGACCATTAGCAAAAGGCTCACCCGGATAAGAAAATTGATAATCATTTCTTCCATGGCAGCATTTGGCTTGAATTCCTCATCAGGTTGGCCACCGGATCCAGGGGTCTCCACATTAGGAATTGATGAAGAACCAGGGGACATCACACAGAGGGATTGAAGACCAGGTTCCACTTTAACTCTTTTACTAGGATCTTCTAGGAATGCAGATCCATCAGTTGCGCGTTTTGCATCAGCAACAGCAGAGCCAGGGTTATATCCATCATTACAGGGAACATCAGCATCAACTGCAATTTTCATTTCATTCTGCCTCTGTCTTTCCCAACCGACGACTAAACCAGCTAGTTCAATAGCAAGACGCCTATTTTCGGCTGTAGTATTATATGGCAATCCCAGTCGGCTAAGAGAATTGACCATCTGCGGCACAAATTGTGCTCTACAGCTATAGAAGAGATCAGAATGCCGCACAATCAACTGGAAAATGTGAATCAGATTAGGAAGCGAGTGACCTTCTTCAACAAGAATCTTTTTGGTGTATCGGATCCAAATTGGCATGCGAGAATCGCCAAGAGGTAATCTTCGGGGTAATGCTGGCATTAGTATGTCAAGGGCCTGCTTGACCAACAGTTTATTCTCTGGCTGGCAAGTTCTAAGAAGAGCAACAAAAACCTGCAATTGCATTTGAAGCTCGATTAAGCCTTTTTCTCATTTTGGTCTGTATACAATAGCAATACGTGTAAATAGTGGTAACACTATTAACTCAATTGGTATACAACTTCGCAGGAACGAGAGGGAACAAATTGGAACTCTTTTAATACATTCTATGGACCTAAAACATTCAAGAACAGAGAAAGAAGAAACAAAGGGAATCTTCCATGTCAACCTGGAGAAACAAACAAATATACTGGTCCGAAGGACATGGAATTAATCAACAGTGAAGTACCTGCAGTATTATCTTTTCAGGCGCCTGGTAGGCCTCCAAGAAATGACAAACATTTACAAATGCCCACTGCTTGCTAGCACTGTCTTCGCGCTTGAGGTGATTCCAGCCAAACTTAATCAGTTCTTTCCTATGATGCACAAGGTCACTTTGAAGGTATTTTAGAAGAAGAGTAGCAAGCTGCAAAAGTTCTATCCTCAAAGGTTCATCATATTCTGCTGAAACCTGACAGATATAAACCCAACAGTTTGAGCAGTCAGACATTAACCACACAAAAGAAAAAGATAAAACCAAGAATAAGTACAATGATATTGAAATCACAGACAATCAAGGAAATTACCTCCTCTGGTGGATCAAGAAGTTTGTCAACAATTGTCTTGATGATAGCAGGGTCAACAACCTCCCAACTTTGGCCATTCTGGAAGGCATGAGCAAGCATCGGAAGAATGAGCATTTGCATGACAACCACCAGATGGTCATGACTAAGTTGTTTCGATTGAAAAAGGTTCAGAAAGTGTAAAAGAAGTGCTTTCTTCATGTTTGGTGGATACCCTTCAGCGACCTGGAGGAAATGAATTGTTCATCAACCTCAAATTAAAAAAACGCTAATGAAGGACATCTTAGCCTATAAAACATCATCTGAGCTGTCATACCTCAATAATAAAGAACTCCTTGAGAAAAGTGTAGTCAATACGCGTGTGAGATAAGAATATGGATGGAATATCAAAGAGCACGTTAACTTCACTTTTGTCAACACGCAGGTAATTCAGGAAGCATTTGATGAGCCATTTGCTTTCTTTAACCTGCATTTGGCACAAGCATAAGCACTCGACATAACTGAGAAAATTAGCATAATCAGAGATTTGTATAAAACATGCATCAACTAATTTCCAAGTCATCCAATAATGTAGAACAAACTTATATTGATATGAAAATCTATTCATCTATGACTACTATAACAGCACTTACTTGCACCAAGTTCAGCTCTTGTTCATTCTGCAAACGAGATATTCTAGCTGGTGACTTCCATAAAAGTACCAAGGTATCAAATACTGCACGGTTGCTCTGCAGCCACGAAGGTACCAACTTGACCAACGTTTTAACCAGAGCAAGCCCATGAAAATGTGCATCTGAAGCAGTACCAGAACCAGAAGATGGTAACTTTTGAGTGTCAGCAGGAGAACTCATTATTGCATCATCACCCGCTGTACCAGTGGCTGGAGTTGACAATCCAGAAGTAACTGCTGACTCAGGTTTTGGTACAAAATCAGGGAAGGCAGTGGGAAGAATCTTCAGTGCAGACTTTGCAAGTTCCTCTCTCAGAGGTTGTCCTGCATCTGATCGTACTATATACATAAACCTGCATCCGAGAGTAGAGCACACAAAAAGGAAAGGCTCAGAACATAGTCTCAAGTCCATAGAAGAAATTCCTTACAACCTGTCAATCTTACCGCCTGAAGTATTTTGGATCATTTAGTCGGGCCAGAAAATAATCAACAGCAAGAGCCGAATAACGATTTAAATATTTGGTCAGTGGAAGGCGATATGGGCTGTTTATCTCGCTGTAGACTTGTCCAACAGGAAGAGCTCTTTCCAAGTCAATAGTCAAAGTCACAAGTTCATCAAGAAACTTTGCCGCAGCAAGAGGCAGTAGGTGAAAAAGCTCTATAATAGCTGCATAGTACCACCCAGAATAAAACAAGAGCAGTGAGACGATCAGTTGCATAACTCATGGAACTCATTTATATCCCACCTTTAAAACTACTGAAAGATAAAAGTTAGATGCCCTACCAGCTGCAATTTTTGGTTCTTCACCAGCCTTCCATGCTTTAAGACTTTGCGCAAGCTTATCAGGTTCCAACCACTTCTTAAGGTGCTCCAACAGTTTGCCACCCAAGGTAACATTGAACCAATTGGATAGTAGTTCGAGAAGACGGGCAAGCCCTTGCAAAAGAGGCATACTAAGGTTCTTGGTGTGGGCTAAGTTAACTAAAATGGGCCTTAGGCTACTCTGAAGAAGTTCCTTGGGCATGCGTTGCTGATTAATAACCTGTTCAAGAGTAAAGTTCGCATGAGAGTTCATCAAACAGATTCAATAGAAAAGAAAGACAAATATGAATACAGAGAAGTGTATCAAACCCTTGTTGAAACAAGGGAATATACAAATCTCCAACAACTTGTAGCCCTGCTTATTTCATATCAATTTTGAGAAATAGAAGAAACAAGGACTATTTCAAACAGAACTCTGCTCAAAAGAAAACAGAAACCAAATAGGGAGAGAGCTGGGAAGCTAAAAGAACTCAAATATATTAAAGGCCATACAACATGGCATGCTATTGTTAAAGTCATTCAGCGAGTGAACCAATGTGCCTATATCTTATTTTTTGTTGGCAAGTTAGTGTTGACTAGGTGATCAGTACATTTATTTAGAAAAGTTAAGTTGATGAGATGTACGAGTTTATTTAGTGGTAGAAAAGCTGTTGATGCAACAGTAGATAGTTTGTTTACTAATAAATAAACGATAGATGGAATTTGGAAAATAACTATTTAAGGTATTTATATTTTTATATCTTATTCTTTACTGAGGTGGATTTACTTATAATAACTTGTAGAGTACATGTTGAAATAGTTGTCTTACGAAGTTACATGGAAAAGTGTTTTAGTTTTAACTCTGTTCCTATTCTTTTTAGAAATATTAAGTCAAAACAAACAATCCAGTGTATGAAATCAACCAATCAGCACAGCCAACTTTTTTACGAATAACCTGTCGTAGGCCTTCCTTCGCAACAGCAACTATCTCTGGAGTTCGGCATGTCAAGGATTTGAAGAACATGGAAATGATCTTCGCACGCAACTCAGAATGATTTGGGGTTTTGAAATCTGTCCATGCCATAGTGGTACAGAGCAGCTCAATGCAAGCTGTTCTGAGCTTGTTAAGTGAGGTGGTCACTTTTGGGTTCATCAACTTAGCCGCCCATACAGTTTCGTCTGCCTCGGCTATTTGCAATGCTTCTTGGAGGAAGTTAACCAGTTCTTGAGTAAGTTTCAGGAGAGGAGGCCTCAAAGCCAGGCAAAAATTCAAAGCAGTAACCGTTCCGATCTACAATTGACAAACAAATTTAACTTCAGTTGCAAATACTGATGGAAGAATATGTTTATAATCAGTAGTACCAGCACATACCTGTTGATCAACAGTCTTTGAGCGAAGAGGGCGCATTATGAGGGGCTGAAGCATAGGCTGATACAAAGGCTCAAGTAGCTCAGAGACCTCACTGCCTGTCCTACTAGCCAAAAGTGACAAGCAGGACTGCACATTCCTCCGCACAATAATAGATGCATTAGGATTGAATAGCTCTGATGCCAGAAAATCAACTACCCCTTGAAAACTTTGCCTACGGGGTTCACTGTTTGCCTCATCGACGTTGTTTACAACCCGAAGAACTTGAGTAAGCACTTGACCGGTTTCTTCCTGCTCTTTGCTTGCATAAAGAGGAAGTCTTTTGAGCACATATACCAAGCCTCGGACAATCCTCACTTGGAAGACACACAGAGTTTCAACAGTGACCTTTCCTACTAAAGCACCAAGTCCCATAACACCACCCATTTGAGCTTGCCATGTGCTTCCATAGCAACAATGCAGGAGACGAGGCAGAAGCTGTTCAAAAGCTGGAACTCGTACACTCGGAGGCGGGGAATAGACTGGATTCATAGATGGACTGGAAACAATCATCGGTGTACTGGGCCCACCTCTTGTCATCAGAACATCAGAATGTTTTGCACGAGCAAGAAACAGAAGGGTCTCAGCAAACACATTTAGTGCACTTAAAGCAGCTTTTGCATGGACCCTATTCTCACTCGCCAGCACCTCCACCAATGCATCCAAAAATATCAAAGGGTCCAACTCTTTAAGATTGGAACAACACTTACTCCTCGACCTGGAATTCAAATTTGATGGGGCCATAGAACCACCAACAATACTGGTCACATGTGAAGAGTTGGTTGGTGTGTGGTCAATGTGAAAGATCATTGCAAAATGGCGGCAAACATTGACAACAAAATCATCCCCAGGGTCTTGAAGCTCCAGTTCTGAATTGGCTGCAATTATTGTCATTAACAAGATTTTGAACACGGACTTCTCCGCCATCAGTTGAGTCTTTGTCTTCACACCTAAGTCTGCCTGTACAATGTAACCCTAGTGAGTATGACTAAAGCTCTGTTTTCTGACTAGCAAATCTAATGCTGAGAGAAATGAAGACAAATTGACAGAAATGTCCTTTTAAGGGGGCATAAGATCATGGTGGTGTAGAGTTCTTTGGAAGATGGACTATCGAGTCTGGTATTGGGATCAGGATATGAGGCATTCAAAGTGAGTCGAAAAATGTCAATAAGCTTACATGACAAACAAGCATACACAAGTCTACAGCATTCCTTAGAATGAAGAGCTGACTCATTGCCACTAAGGAAGCAATAAGTAGAACAAAAATTAAAATGAAACAAATACAAAGCATTCACCAGCCTAGCCTATCTTACTGCTAAGCATCATTTTGATCGGTCAGTCAACAGGATTCTACTGACGAATAATTTAAATGATAAACTAGAGTAAAAGCTTCAAGATCATGCCCAAGGGGCAGTTCAATTACTTTCTTCATGAACATTATATGAACAAGATACAGTTGCAGTGAACAATCCAATTACAATGACATATAGCAGCAAAACTGGATAATGTTATACTTTACCTTTATGTCTGATGTCTCGGACCTACGCCATGTCGAATCTGTGACAGAAACCAACAATGTCGACAACTGTTTGCCCGTATACCCCTCATCGGAGATACTCCCTGGCAAGTTTAGCTGAGAAGCTACGCAAACGCGAAGGAATTTCAGCGCCTGCTTCCGGTAAAATGCATCTATGCTAGCATCTCTGTGCATGATAGCTGATACAGCAAGATTTATACACCGATCCAGTGGCACCAAAAATGGAGTTGAAGGTTCGAATGTAAGAATCAAGCGAAGTCCATGTTCAGGGTTATCTTTACACTCGAGAGAGAGGGGCTCCTTAAGAAATCTCCTATTACGACCACCTAACTTGCCCAGAAGTTGCAATGCCTTTCCCCCCCAAGGATACGGCGGAGGTCTCAAGTGAGACCACAAAGCCAAAATCACCTCCGACATCACATTAGCCATGCTTGGTTCCAGGAAATCAGGATTCAAACTATCTACCCAAAATTCAAGTGTCCTTAATCCTAAATTCACTAGATCATCGCCTCCTTTAAGACACAAAACAAGAGGCCTCATCAAACGAGGAAGATAAGGAAGCAATGAGCTTAGTCGTGCAGGCAATGTAAGGCACAGCTCCAGCAAAAGGTCCCTCATGTCTTCCCCAGTTGGACCCTCGAGCATTGTCAATAACATATTCAGGCAGGGCTGTAGCATAGGAATGAGGTCTCGTAGAAGAAGTTCGAATTTACATCCTGCAAGAGCTCGAAACATAGTGCGTAGTAGTTGCATGTAACCAAGAGGTTTCTCAACTTCAGTAGCATTCTTCACACAAACCTCCATAATGACAGGAACATGTGGCTGCAAAATCCGTTCAAAATCTGCAGGTGCTTTGGTAACAGCACCAAATATAAACCTAAAAAGGTGCAGAACCAGTTTCGCAGCAGGTGAATCTGAGTGCTTTAAAACATCAAGTTTGCTGCTTGCAAGGAAATTAACCAGTACATCCGCAAATGGTCTGTATACTTTTGGAGATTGCAGAAGAGAAGAGAAAATGTGGACCAACTGAGTATTGTTAATCATACACTCAAACAGCTCAGGCAAGCACAAGGAGAACATGTCCATCAAATCTCGAGGCTCCATGATAGCCAAAATCTGAGAGAAGAGATTAAGCATGTCCCTTTCTTCATCCTTTTCTTTGAAGAGAGCTAGGCAATGAACCCCACTCTTCAGAACACCTGATGCTTTCCACAACTGTCCAATACTAGTTTCAGACCATGATAGATGCAATTAAATAAACGAGAACTTCATTAAATTTATCATATTGCATGTGTTACCTCATCTTCCCTCATCCCTTTAAATGCTTGCTGAGCTGGTAAGTTGGAGGGGTGTGAAGCTAGTACCTGAGAGTGCGCTCCATGTGTGGAGGGGGAAACCTAGAACATTAAACACACTGAATCATAAATCAAGTACTCCGGAGTAGAAGAAAATATCAAACTACAGAAAGAAACCTGTGACCGAGGCAAATGTGCATGAGTAATGCTCCAAATGATGGTCTTCATTCCTGGATATATCATCAGCCAGAGTGAATATTCTCAGGCAAACATTAGTTACAAGAGAAATCAATCCTACAGGACTGTCAACCACACAAAACATGTCCCTCGGACATGACACTTATGGCATTTAGAAGAACCAGCAAGAAGAAAGTATTCATATGACCTACCCATGACTAACGTCTTGATCAGATTCTTACAATCACTGACTTCCTTAGAATGTTCCACAGGGACTTGCAAATTCAAAACTGCCTGCAAACAGAAGAAGATAGAGGATTCTCAAGAACATGTAATAGTTAATTTCTCCAGCATACACGCCTGATCCATAATTGGTAGTGTTATACACACTGACAAAAGGTTACTAAACTGACACATTAAAAATGCTTCCATTTATTTCCAGGAAATACTGCACTTGAAACAGGTTAGACTCTGAATCACAAATGCAGCCAAGTTCCCAAAATGCAGAGACTTCTATGTCATTTAGCCCTTTCATGTACCTTTAACTATGAAAAAAAAATGAACACAGTTTGAGCAAATCAACTGCTTCAAGACTTCAATGAAAATTTAAGAAGCTTGCTCTAGCTATTTGTTACAAGGAGACTAAAAATAATATTATGTTTCTTTAAATGAATAGTTGACACTGTAATGCATAGAAAGCATCCTGCAAGGAACCAAGAATCTACAGTGCACTAAGCAAAACAAGAACAACAATATTCAAGGAAGAAAGGGACGCCGAAGCTTCAACTGAAATAGGTCAATTTCAAAGAATAACAAAAAATAATACAAAGCACAAGAAATCAAGCAAATAAATCAGTTTCAACAATAAACAAGGTAATCTTGAAGGCTAAAGCATCTAGTGGCATGTCATCAAATGACCTGCACAGGAAGCTCAAGCTTTGATCTTAAAGTAGCACGCTCCTTTCCCTCTTCCCCTTCTTCCAAGAGCTACCATTAAAAGAATAAGAATGTTAAAACTTACAGAAAACATGGGTGTAGAAATAACAAAGCTGGGTAGAGAAACAAAAAAAAAAGACACATCAATAGTTGTATGTCACATTTATATCAGCTGCCATCTTAAGCTATTTTATTCTTTCCAACACATTTAAGTAAAGAGAATTGTCAAGTTTCTCTCTTAGTTTCCACTGTATATTCTTATTTAGCAGAGTAACAACAAAATATTTCGAACATTAAACAGCTATACAAGATACCCTTTCACAGTCTACAATTAAGAGCAGCATAGCCTTTTGCTGTCATATTTGGAAAATAAACAACTAAAGTCAAAAATAAAAACAGAAAGAACTTCAAATTCCATATGAATTTTGGTAAATTGTTGTTCACACCAATTGAGCAACCATGTCCACAGATCAATCCCAAATAAAGAATGCTACAGCTGGTATTAAAGTTAGCCTGAGGAAAGGGTGATGGGAAAATGCACTAGAATTGTGGATCACCTGTGGGATAGTTCGTTTGAAAGTACTGAACTTGCCAACAAAAGCATCCAAAATGCGCCCCTGTCCAGACAATTAAGTCAGCCTCAAAGAAGATCAGTTTGTATCATGAGAACATAACATAGTGATTAGAGTGTACTAGTAGAACTCGAGCTTCATCCATAGACGGCTGGTCCACCCCCTTCTCAAAAATTGGCTCTACCTACATTGCAGGGGGGAAATTGTAACATAAATGGAGAATACATGAAACTTGTAGTTGAAGCATTTATAAGTTTGAGGTACAAAATATACCAGATTCAACATCAACCTGGCACAGGTTGTATGTATACTGAGTGACAAAGAAGCATCGTGCATGTTACTAGAAAACAGATAAATGATACGTGATAACTGCAGCAGCATATCACAAAACTCCATTAGTGGAAAGGAGATTATAACAGTCGATGAACCATTGAAAGTAACAGATAAAGACATCAATATCAATTTATCAATGACTCGCAAAGAAAAGAAATTGTGAAGTAAAGCACAGCAGATGCATTAGCAAACAGCGAGTCACAGAGCTTGCCACCTTTTCTAGTTTTTACTTTCCATGCTTCAAATGGAGAATCGAAATTCGACACTGAACACCTTTCATAAAATAATGCAGTTACTGAATATATAATACTACCTCAAACACAACATCAAAATTTGATCTTTATAACAACAATAATCATCCAACAGAACAGGTTTTCTGGACCATTACAAGCCCTAGCCAGTATGGAAAATGACATTATATAACAGTTAAAGGCAATTATGAAGCAACATACGGGGAAAAATACCTTCATCAGTCATGACAAGCAACAGCAGACATCATGTCAGGGAGAAATGAAAACAAAAACTAGGGCATAAAAACATCACCTGAGACAATGTGAGGTCACTTCTAACATGATGGACAATCTCTGCCAGTAGACTATAAGCTAATGGCCTCAAAGTCTCATAGCATGCACGGCCAGTTCCAACTAAAACTCTGGAATACAAAGACAGATGTACGAATATATTCAAAAAGAGAAAAAGAAAACAAGCAGCAATATCAAGCAAGAGCAACTTTAAGCAACATGTTCCAACCAATGCCAGAAAGCCCGCATGTCTGCATGGCCCAAATACATGGGACAAAATATGATTCAAGAACAAGATACTACGGAAAAATATCTACACAAAAAAAATCTTGAACAAATGAACCCCAATTATTTTCAATCCAAGACCAAGATCAGTTCTTCTCTTAGAAGTTGATTATAATAAAACATATCAAGTAGCAAAGGTTCAGAAATGCAGAAAGCAGGAGTTCAAGTCTTGTTCTGCTCTTCTCATTACTAGCTCTTCACCAATAACTTCTTAGACAAAATTTATCCGTACAAACAACTTTGAAGACAATTGGCTTCAAGCTATATTCACTACCTCGTTACAATATCATATCCCTGAATATTATATGGTTGCAGCAATTACCTCTCTTCTAAAAGTGTGTCAATCAAAGGAAATAATCCCCTTTTGAAATCGGTTCCAAGAACATGTTTTAGAGCAACTAACAATTCCTGCAGAAAACAGGCTGCAGTATCAGTTTCTAACTTACGGATTGGACAAGAACTAGGGACTTAAGAGGATATAGTAAAGATTTTCACCCTTCTGATAGATACAGAGTCTGAGCATGTAACTAGCAAATTTACAATGCTTTGGCATATACGATCTTCTTGGGACCTAATGTAATCACTGAAGCTCTTCAGCAGGTAAGTCAAAAAGGAAACAGTCTGCAACAAGGAAAATACATGATATAAGGAATTACGAGCATTCCACAGAGTCAAAGGAGCAAGTACAACGGCACAAGGCTTTCCATGAAGCATAAAAGTTAAAACCAACACATGGAGGCAATACTTTCAAAACTCTTCAAATTGATAATATGGCATGCACTTCAGACCTGTGCACACCTTCCCATTCAGACCAGAAAATTCTGCAATTATCTAGATTATTCAGATGTCTGATTCTTCATGAATGCAGACCTACAAATGATGTTAATGGTAAATGCAGTAACCACTTTATTGAACACAAGGGCCATATCCGACTCCTCTTGCAATCCAAAATCAAAGAGGAAAATGCGAATAATTGGACTCCAACATCAGTATGTGGTAATAGTAACTTGAACCATCTGGCACTAACCTTAACTTGTGCTCCCTTCAGTTCAATAAAATGACTCTTTAGATGGGGAGGAACCCTGTCAGGGCCAGGAACAGATATTGCATCAACCATTAGAGGTAACAGAGTCGGAATATTGGTTTGCACAAGTCGGCTATACAATTGGAACAGAAACATCACCACGAGGGGACTCTCCGTGACCACTTTAAATGACCGAGTACTGGGATTAAGCTGGCCATTCCCTACATATCCAGTACCCGTGATCCCTTGATCTGAAGAAGAAGAAGTCTCCATTGGCTTGACATCCTCCAGATTAGTGGTCATGTTATCGAAGAAATGGCTAACGGTCAAGCTAAAGTTTTGGTAAATCTTGCACACGAAATCCAAGAATGGTTGAACTTCATTTTCTAGCGTGGGCCTAAAGTTCCTAAGAAGATCAAAGATGATGCGGATGCAAATCAATCCATTCTCCTCATTATCTGAGGTAAGCACTTGCATGGCAACCTTCAATAGATCCTGAACAAAGGGCCTCAGAACTTCACTGTGAGGCAAACGGTTGAGTATCTCCACAACAATGTTACGAAGCTTGTGCTCTGGATTGTCTACAAACTGGGGGCTGGTAATTTGTAAGAGAATGGCTGAGAATGCACGGAAATAGCACTTCAAGAAGTTCAAGTACTCTGGAGTGTGTGCAATCTCGAGACTGTCGCGCACTTCCATCGCCATCTGAAGCCTCGTTTGCATTGCTGTTTGGAAGTAAAGCAAATTCGAGTAAGATTTTACATACGCAGTGATCATAAATTTTACAGTGTTAGCTATTCAATTCAAAGAATCTTCATTGTTGCCAAAATGGGAAAACAAATAAAAACAGACGATCAAATGCATCGGTATGAGAACTATCCAATAAATTGCCCACAAAATGAGACGTAATGACAGTGAGACAGAGGGTTACGGATATCAGGCTCCACGAGGTGACGAGAATGCTGCTCGAAGTTCTGAATTGGACCCATGGCGATGGCTTGTCTCCCGGATGTACTTACTGGAGAACGGAAAACCCTAATTCTCCCCTGTTCACCCAACACTATGCTCAACAGAGTTTCTCCTCGAGGGTTTTAAAGCAGCGACTTGGCTCCTGAAATCGCTCGGCCGGCTGCCCCGCTGGAGTAAACTAACACTGTATTCACTCAATCGAGCCAGTCAGCGAGGTTTGGATCAGATTTTTTAGGGTGGACGGAATATGATTTTTCTAGGGTTTTGAGAAACTTCAGGGGGGGTTTTGCGTCACTGGCAGCCTGGCAGGGCGAAAGATGGAGCTCCGGTGCTAATATGGTATTCTACTAACTTTAAACCCCCGCTCACCCGCGGGTGGCCCGAACTTTTAAGTTTTACAATCCTCCTCCAATCAACCAGCTTTCCAGCCGGCCGATTGGTCTGTTCATTTTTAAAATAAGTTCTAAGATAAAAAAAAACAAGAAGATATTCAACATCTACGCTAAGGTAGTTTGGATAATATGAGTTTAAATTTATAAATTGTCAACAATCTAAAAATTTTAATTCTTCGGATTGTTGAAAATAGATTCTAAAATGTTTATCGTTTGGTAACTGTGATTGTTAACATTCAGTGAAAATAAAAATTTTAATTTTATATTAAATAACGTGTTTATCCTTAATAAAAAAATTAGAGTGGTTCGATAAATATTAAAAACTTTGTTGATAAATATATTTAATATGATAAATAAATAAAAGAAAGAGAAAAAATAAGAGAAAAAAATCTCACGAATCAAGATATAGAATCTCTTATATATATATATATATTGTATTATGGATTTTAGATTTAGAGATTTCAAATCTCCAAAATCTACGGATATCAAATGTCTTATAATATATATATATATGGTGACTTCTACGGTGCTCAGGGCAAAACCCGGGTACGGGTGCCTTGGCCGATCTTAACCGTTCGTTTTCAATCTCCACGGCTCACGTTTGTTAAACCTAGCTGCGCCACTAAATAACTAAACAAATTACAAATTGCCTCCTCCGCGTTAAGTCAGTTTTCATCCTAGTCCAACTAACTGCCCCGGTTAAATTAAATGGATTAAGACCCAAACCCAATTGGGTAGACCCACTGCCGCCCAAACCAATTTCCAGTCTCCCTAACCAATTACACGATCCCTCTCTCGTCTTGGAGGGACGCCCCTTCACAGTTCCAAGAGAAGCTCCCCATCCACATTCGACGTAGATTGAATTTCCCAAAATAATTTTGTCTTGTTTCTTCTTCGCCAGTGTATTTCCCCTCGCCTATCTCTTTCTAAACACGATTACGGCGACCATGTCTATTATTGTGTTCATCGAACTTTTCATTTGGAAAAAAACCCTTGAAAGAGGTTTGCTAACCCTAGGGTTCATGTCACTAGTGCTTTGTCATCTTGTCTTAGCGTTATTGTGATTATATCTCTCGGTGAAATTAAGGTTTCCTGATATGCAGTGTTCGTCTCGCCCAGAGGATTGAGGAAGGAGATGAAGAAGACCTAATTTGATTCGAATCAGATGGAGAGGTCTCCTTAATTTGTGTTTATGTATTAACGATGCGTTTAGGACTAATTCTAGTTGGACTGGGTCTGATCATTGATTTTTGCAGGCTTTTAAATAACATTCAAATGTGGGCTTGTACATGACCCATGAAATATTCAAAATTGTGCCTGGAACGTGCGAGCCCATTAGTTTTCTCCTGCGGTATCAGCGCCAACCCTAGTTTAACTAGATTTAGTTACCCTAACCTACACGAGTTAACATCATCATTACTACATATCTTCCCAAATCTTCTAACTCTTGACATTCCAGACTCAACCGTCTCCATCACACGTCTCCACACTCAACCCCCACTTTTTCTTACACCTACAATCTCTCTTTCCCTACAATCTCTCTTTCCTCCATCTTCACCTTCCCTTGTTCCTTCTTCCTCTGACTCCATGGCAAACATGGGCATTCAAACTCTATCAAACGACGACTGCCGAACCATCACAAGTCTCGCGGACTATCTTTCATTCACGAGCAAGACATCTATTGTGGCCGAGTACGAGTTCATCAACCTGAGTCCTTTCCCTCAAGAAGTTAAGAAGTTAATTAAAAATCTTGGCTGGGAAAAGTTCTTCGATCTCCGGAGTCGAGGAAGCACCAGTTACTGCCCGCATGTGGTGAGGAAGTTCTACCACAATTTAGAGCTGTCTGGTCCCTCCGATTCTCATCTCGTGTCGATCTTCCTGGGTCATAGAGTCTGCTTCCAGCCTCATCAGTTTGCTGAGATCCTCGATCTCCCCGCCGCAGGACACCACATTGATAGCAGAAGCGATCTTCGGCGGCTGTACGATTTTGATTTTGAAGTTGAACTGGGGAAACTGACGAATGGGTGCATCCAGGCTTCTTACCTCCCAGATCCTCTTCGATTCCTCCATTGGATGATCGTCAACTGCTTCATGCCAAGGGACAGAGGTCATTCGATAATTCGTAGACTTGACCTGTTTATCCTTGTGCAAGCTCAAAGAGGTGTTCCTCTTAACCTCGCATCTCTCATGTGCGTGAACATGGTTGAGGCGGCTCCTAGAGGGGAAAACTGGTACACTGCCTTTCCATATGCCACCTTCTTGACCACCTTTCTTGGAAGGGTTGGGATGGATATGGGGGTTTATGCTAGGGAGGACCATTCCGCCTATTTGCCAGTCTACCGTATCGTCGAAGTGACCAATACTTTTCATGAACTTCGGCATACGGAGCATGAAGAGACCCCTGAGGCATCCTCAAGCAAACGTCCTCGGCTTACATGAGAGTCGATTGATGCAGGGCGGGGTGGAGCAGTGCAGGGCGGGATGGAGCAGTGAAGGGGCCAGCATTGGATGTGTTTTGTTAAGAAGTTTACTGTAAGGCTTCGTTGTTTTTTTTCCAGTCTTTTTCTCCAGCACTCAAAACTGTCAGGTACTGAGGGGAGCCAGTACATCATCTGACTAGGAAAGTCTCCCATTTTTTTAATTATCCAGACAAATATTTTTCTATGCATGCAGTATTTTGTGAATTTGCCATGGCTAATTTCCCTAAGACAGGTGACGAGATGCAGTAATGGTCATCCCTAAGCAAGGATGTGCAATTGCATCCTACACTTGCTATGATGTGAGAAGCTATTGCAAGGGTGCAAATTTGGTTGCAATTGAAATTGGCCCACGAGTGGGGACTATTGATGAAATTGCAATGTTTTGTCAAAATTATAGAAGTGGAAGTAGGGACTACCTATGAAATTGCAAATGAATTTCATTGGGGGAGATTTTAATCCGCTTTTGTTCTAAGCAGTTCCAATTAGGTTGATTATAATGATTTTTTTATCTATGGTGATTTTTTTCCCCTTTTTCATCAAGACTCATGCTTCTTTTATCCCCCTGTGGATCTATCATGCTTCGTTTATAGTAAAATATCCTTTTAATTATACACAATAAAGAATCCATTAATTATGTATGCCTTTTTATTGTATTTATTACTACAATGAATTCTCTGACTAAAAGGGGAGCTTAAACATCGTTGGTGGAAATTCAAGGAATGGAATGATAAGGGCTGTGCATAAATTCAATTTCTGTAAATAATTAATTTTATTATTATTAGTTAGTAACGTCATTAGTTTTAGTTAGTGGGTTAGTGGCTCCTACTTTGTAGCTTCAATCTGTTCAAGAGTTGGTACTTAAGCCACTCTCCTCATCAATGTAAATCACTACTTCCAATCAGTTTTACCTTTTGGGTTACCTATACATGAATGCAAATTTAATTATACGATTGGGAGCCAATCAGTTTAACTATACATGATCCCAATTAAACCTCTCTACAAGATACAATGGCTTGAAGCCTTGAACAGACGCAACCTCACTCACAAGTTGGAAGGTGGAATTTTGGTGAAGTCCCTTTGCCATTTCCACGAAAAAACAAACCAAACCAAACCAAACCAAATATAGAAAGCATTCACAATACCAAAAACCAAATATACAAAGCATTCACCAAACCAAAAACCAAACCAAAAAACCATTCACCAAACCAGACCAAAAACCAAATATTAAAACCATTCACCAAACCAAACCAAAAACCAAATATAAAAAGCATTCACCAAACCAAAAACCAAATATAAAAACCAAAAATAATAAGCATTCACCGAACCAAATTAAAAACGGTTGTCCATCATCCTGAGAAAAAAAAAACATAACTGTTGTCCTTCATCAAAACCAAAAACTTAGAACTCAAAATCAGGTTGTTTTGGGCTCGTTGACCGGGTTTCCTTGTGCTCTTCTCTTTCCTTTTTCCTCTTTTCATGGCTTGTCTTGTACTCTTCCACTGCAGCTTCAACTTGAGGTGCAACTCTTCTTGCTTCCGTGAGCACCATATGCCTTATGTAGTTCATGGGCTCTCGAACAAGGTACAAAGCGATCTGCATCCTCCTCACTTGAGTGCATGGCTATCAACATCAACAAACATGGTGCTTACCGCATGATTCAAAAATAACAATCAATTGTGGTTTTCTAATATGGGAATTAGAATTGTCTTTACCCAAATATAAGAGGAGTCCCAGCTTGCGCCATACATCCACATGCATACCCAGACTCCACTGTCAGACCTACATAAAATAAAAGCATTGCGTGATAAGAACCAAGTTGATAAGTCGTCGTTTAATATCACAAAAAAATGGGCATACTTACCGATGAAGTTGTTGTTGCACAATTGAAGGAGTTGGGTACGAAAACTCCGCAATCCTTGGTGGCGACAATCCCGGACCTTGTTCACGATAGAGAATCTTCCACAAGGCTTGCATAAAGCACATCTGTACAAATTAAGAAACGTTTGTACTTAGAAAGAGTTATTTATATTTTGTTGCGTTATAACGGCACAATGTCACATATTTACCATTGTTTGAACAGATTGTAGTCGAAAGGAATTGCGGTCTTCATTTGGTTGTGGATCCAAGATATGGACCTCTTCCTTGTCCAACTTAATGACAGCCAAGTACCAATGGGCATTATCTCTCATCGGAACACACACCTACATATGCGGAAATTGTCAACACGTATTAAAAAAATAAACTGCAAACCATGTAATACTTATTAAGACGAACATTTTACCTTGTTCACCATATGGGTTCGACTAAGGAATTTTGATTGGTATAGGTCTAATGCCATCTTGGGTGTTATTCCACATGAAATCACTAGTTCCTGCCCATGTGGTAGTTGCACAATTGAAATTTTGTCAACACAATATGATTCACGTTAA